CAAACAATAGTACTAACAGGAAATTGTAGGTTGCATTAACACTTTAAGTACTGGGAGTGTGCCCAGTATTAATGTAAAGAAAAAGAAATATCTAAGTGGCTATTTTATATCGGATGAATTAATGATTTGGTAAAGCCTTTACTTAATACTACACAAATTATAGAAGAAAAATACTCTAACAAGGATTTAGAGTAGGGGGTCCAATAGAACAATATAACTCTAAGTCATAGTTTTTTAAATTCCCCAATATTATAATGGTTATAATAATAATTTGTTATATTCTCTCGAGGCACTTATGTTAATATTTTAAAGCTTAAATATACGATTGTAATTTCAGTGTTTGAGCTATAAAATTTTATTTCATTTAAACTAATTTAATTTTTGCTAAATATTCACTCGAAGTGAAATATTAGCTTTTCAAATAACAAACAGAAAACATATATGTTTACGGTAATAGTTTAGTAATTATTTTATTAAACTTTCTCAAATAGAATTAGAAAATGATTTAGTCTTTTGATGGGAATTAGAAGCTGTATAAATATGAATTTATGAAACCAATTCAAATGTTAATTCAAGTGAATTTAACCAAAAGGCAACCAATATTTGTGCAATTAAATATAAAATGTCCACATTATAATTAAGCAAATAAACATTTGTTACCTAAATTCAGAAATTCTTTTTATCAATGTTTATGAAAATTTGGAAATCGACGACAAAAGTTTGCAAACCAATTCATTTGAATTCAGGGCAGGATGTAATTATGAATCTGGAATTGTATCTATGTTGATATTTACACAATTAGTAAGCTTATATGCGTGCGAGCATGTTTGTAATATACAAATTTCAAAATTTATTATTTTATGTTAATTGCTTGTGTATTTGAGATTTATATTTTCGAGTTTATTTATAAAAGAACTGAAGTGATTGCTACAGGATGTTGACTTATAAGGCGTAGGTGTTATTTAAATACTCTACTATGATTGCGAAAGAAAATTTAAATTTAAATTATTTATTTACATTTCTCAGAGTGTGTAAATATAGTACGATTCATTGTACGATTCAATAAATGATTCGTTATCCTCTTGAAAATATTTTACATGACGCTGTTGTTTCATCAAACGGTATGAATATTAATTGAATTCACACATTAGAATCGAATAACAGCTCAAGTGGCTCAACAATATCGCATGAATTATTGAATAAACAAAATAACTCGGTTATAAATTAATAATGTGGTATGCTGCTTTTATTCTGATATAATCAGTTTGTTAATTGCATCGCTCATTATTTTAAATCATTCATTGTTTTCATAAAAACAACAACATTTGCGTGCTTTTGATTCGCAAATGTGATTAAAAATTTGACTACAGATTGATAAAAGCTGACAAAGATATTTTCTATTAAATGCAATTATCTCGCGTGAAAAGTTATCGGATATTTATTTAGTTTAGATTAATTTAAATCAAACAATTACATTAATTAAACAGAAAATAGTATCAATTTGTGTGATATAATTCTTGGATTAGTCAAGCAATTGACACCAACTAGGTGGTAAATCGATTCCCTCATCGTGGATTACACGATTACAATTTGGAATGAAAATGAGTTAGTCAACATTAAAAACAGTTATTTAATAGAGATATGAACTTTAAAGGCATAGATTAAATAATTATTAAATTATCACCATCGTGTCGTGGTATAAATAATGGCTCCCTACATTCACCACTGATATGGCAATGAAAACACATTAGCATTTAATTAAATTGTTTGAATTATAACTCCATTGGAAACTATAAAAAATATGAAAGTTGAATAAAAAAAAAACTTTTGTAACTAAAATGATTATATTGATAATTATATGTGATTACATGATAACTTAAAATGATAATACATCAGAAATATTATTGGAATGAAACTTGAGCATCGAAACTTTGAATTTGGGCATTGAAAGTATGTGCAGCCTTGGCTACTTGTGAAAAAACACGATTAGTCATCATTACTCATTTGACAAACATGAGTTCTAAGCCTAGTACTTACAGTACAACAAATTATGTAGGGACTATAAACTAATTAAATAAAAATTCGAACATTTTCTAAGACAACACTGTTTCCAGTATTGTATGGTCAGCCAAATTTTAAAAATACATCACTTTTTTGTTGTTGCTTCTTTATTACTGTTCGAACTCTTGAAATTTTTATTAATATAATCTGGTAAATAATTTGATGGCATTTGTTTTTTAAATACAATTTTCGACATATATCTGCCGCGGCTACGAGTTATATGGTCCATTCGATCTGTCCAATTTTTGACTATTTCTTTGCAATAAATGTGAGAGGCGTTAAATAAAACAATGCACGAACGAGAGGATCAGTTAACAGGGCCACTTCTGGAAATAAACTTGTTAACAAATTGATTTCGCAATAAATTGATTGTTAAGCGCGTTGTAGGTATGGTCTTGCTGGAACCAATTATCGTCGATGTTTGATGAATGACTGATTAATTTTTAAAAACACACATACAGTCAGCACAGTCAATACAAATTGCCATTTTCAAATTGACAATTAGTTTTTTATAACTCTATAATTCAGTATTCCGAGAAAGTTATAGATTTAATTAAGGCTGATAGTAAGCAGAGTACTTCGGTCTTCTGCTATTCCTGCATATCTTTAAGTTTTAAAGTACTACCAATGTGTACCCACAGTATTGCAATAAGCTATAATTTAAGCTTACGTGGTCTTTTAGTACACAAGGACACCACTCCAATTTAACACAACTTGTGACTTTATTGAGAAAAGGTTTAATCAAACATACGTGCCCAGTTTTATTCAAAACTGTCAACACATGAAAGCAAAATAATACTAGTTATAGTAGTCATACTAGTATATATTATAGTATATTATAGTAATACTTGTCAATAATACTAGTTAAACATTTATTTTAATATTTTTGTATTATTCGTCTAGTAATTGTTGTTGATAAGTTTTAAAAAGATATCGAAGTTTAAACAAATACTTTAGTTGGATTTCTTATTATTTCTAATTACCTATTAAGCCTCAAAGGAAAAAGCTTACATACCTCCTTTGTATAAAACTTAATATACATACTTTTAGTCGTATTAAAGTGTTTTCACAGAATTAAAATAATTTCACCTTGAATTGAATAAAATTTTATATACAAGTGAAAAGAAATAGTATTGAGATTATATATCTATTTCCTAGTACGTGTGTTGACATAAAATGTGATTTTATTCTTAATAGCAACACAAAAGTATTATGTTCTATAAAAATTTACCACAAACACATTCACTTATGGATGATGAACATTCTAAGCAGCAATAGCAGTAAGTAAAAGTGCAACGAAGCAACGATGGCACTAATAGGGTTAAGAGTGCATTTTACTTGTCAATACTTGTACAGATTAAAGAACATAAAAGTAGCAAAAACCAGCTACATATTAAGAGGTATATGTATATTTACATGAAAAATCTCTTTAAGGCAGATTTTGCTAAACATATTTGCCTTTTACTTCAATTTTTGAGTCTTATTTTATTGATTGTATGTGTAAGACTTCAAATGAAATTATTTTGCATTGGCAATACTTTTTAAATGAAATTCTTTGCAAGTTTTATAAAATCCATTATACAGTATAATGTTATATTGTACTGATTATTTGAAATCAAAAGTGATACTAAGCAAAATATGTACTATAGACTTTAAAAAAATTTAATAAATTTTATATATAATATTAAAAAAATATAAGAAGATTTAGGTCTAGATGAAATATTCTTTCAATAATTTGACATTTTCGTGCAATTTGGTACTTTTGTACTTTGAATACTTGTGCACTGTGCTTTGATATAAATATACGATTCAATATGAAATAAATTATAACACATAACCCAAGTAGCTTTCTTTTAAGCATTCTGTTTAAAACTGTAACAATCCATATTCATTAATTTAATAGCCAACAATTTATATTTTCATAGATTATTTCTTCTAATTGAATTTGTAAAAAATTATATTTATATAGTTGTATATAGAGATATGCATCATCCTATTCTATCATCCTTGTTTGAAAGCTCCTAAAGCACATCAATTGTATAAATTTCCTCAATGTCTCAACATCTTTAGAACTAACTGCCTTTAGTAGAAAAACTAGGTATGCATTCACATTCACACTAAACAAAAAAAATTTAAAAGTTTTGAAATACTTTAAAAATCACTATTGTTGAAAACATTCCTAGCCTTATTGGTGCATTAAAATTAAAGAATAAAAATGGCGCCATATCATATTTCCCCTTAATTGATATAATTCCCTGGCAATTACAATTTACCGCATTCCAATACCTCAGTCAGATTCACTAATATTTAGGACTTAGGTACATAATTTACTATATTTATGTATTTTAAAATAATGATAAATGCACCATATTTTAGTAATAAAATTAAAACATCCCACGTCAAGGTAATTTTTCTCTAGTTCTAGTTTTAATAATAAAGTTTGAACTTTATGCGAAAAAGCATGATCGATAACTAGTTTCTCAGTCTAAATATGTAGATATAAAATCGGATTATTTACTTGTTTCTTCACTAAATAATACCTCTATTCCAATAGAATGAGATCGGGAATCAAAAACTGAGACTGAGACTGAGCGCAATAGGTTTTATTGATCGTAATTTGTCTTTGTCTCTTCTACTTTTTGACTTACAGTAACTTTCTTCAAAACTTATTTGTTGATGTACTTTACTTCAATACTATATATTTTACTATTCATGTATCAAATTGTTTTGAAAATATTAATTTAACAAAATTCCGTTTAAATTCTTTATGCCTTAATAAAAATTGTATGCATAAATTTCAATTTTCATAATTTTTATTGCCATTTCATTTCATGCTCGGACAAAAATGGTTCTGCCAACTGTTACCCGAAATCCATTTATGTGTTGCTTACACACCCAACACATCGTTCGCGTTACCATAATATAAACATTATCTGCAGGCTGGGATGATTGGAGTGATTTCACGCTTTGTAGCGTTACATGCGGTAAAGGTGTGCAGCAGCGATTTCGACGTTGTCTCCTGGATAATCCAATGATGAACTTAAACATGAATATGAATTTAAACGCAGTTGTTGATGATGATGATGACGACGATGTTGTTATTGATGGTGATGTTGAAGCTGATGAAGTGGCCCGTGATGCTTATGCTACACAAAATGGTATTATCAATGAAATGGAGACAGAAATTGACTTTACGCAAATGGAAAGTGACAAAAGTGTTGTCAATGTGCCGACAACAAAAGATGCACAAACTGATATTGAAATTATAGCAGCAAACGATGCTGACAGCAGCAATACTTTGCAGCTGCATGGCATGAAGGAAATTAAAATTGTTCCCACTATTAATGCAATTGATAACATGAGTGATGTCGCTTTGTTGTCACAACAGCAGACGTACCGAAGTACAACGAATAACAGCAACAATAATTCTCCAGTTGCTGTGAGTGATGTTAATAATGAAGATACTGAACATAATATGCTGTATGTTGTTGCAAATAAGTTAAATGAGTTTAATGAAAACTTACAATACGCAAATTCAAAAACTTTGACCACATCAGCGAAAAATATTAATAAAAAAAATCAATTGCAAGGAAAAAAATCTGAGAAAGACTTTCAGAAGCCATCCAAGAAGCACCGCAGCAGAAAGTCAACAAAAACTTTCTCGACTTTATTCTGCGAAGGTTACAATATCGAACAACGGAATTGCAACACTTTTGAATGCCGTGGTAAGTCAACTATTTTAACTAATTTTTCATTTTCATTGAAAATTTCAGCTTTTTTGTTAAACTTCTTTTTTATTATTTTATATGAAATCAAAACTCGAAGTTAAACTTTTCATCAATTTTCATTTCTCATAAATTTATTCATTTTCTGACATTTCCTCCATTTCCTGTGTTACTTTAGAATTTTCAATGCATGTTGAATGCTCAAATGTTTACTTTTCATTTCAATGCTGAACATGGTATTCATTTCGATTTCGATTTCCATTTCCAGATGACATAAACGACTTATTAAAATTTTATAAAAAGTTTCCAATGTTCGATGACATAAGCGCTGCGACAATGCCATTGGCAACTGATATCAATACATCCACAACAATTGCTGCAGCTTCAATTGGAGCAGCTGCAATGTCTACCGATACAGTTGTAGCGACAGCAACAACAACCTCGAGCATTGGCTTCGGTACTATTAATGCTGCTGTTAGTTTAAATGCCATGCCGTCATCAACACCTTCCAATATGGGATATGTCAAGAGTTGGCACAATGCATTAAATTTCACGCTCATGACCACACTAAGGGCTAAGGTAAGACATAAAATTTATTTGTACTCATATATGGAAAGTCTGTTGTTTTTTTATGTACAATATAGCCTACGACTTCAGTAGAATAGGTGTCTCAAAGTGCACCTCTCTCAAGTATACGAACATTACATTCATTAAAAACAATCAAATTGTAATCTAAAATAGATTAAGGAACAACGGTAGCAAATAGATGTCGCTGTACTATCACAAGAAGTACTGAATTTCCTCTTGCAGATACAATCCCTAACGCAGTTGATCGACGTCTTTTTTTTGAACAACATTTTGAACTCTGGACCCAGCTTAAATATTTATTTTCACTAATATAGTTTTTACTATTCTTACAATCATCTTCAACCATATTGTTATTGTATGATTCATTTGTTATGTTCTTGTGATGCTTCCAGTGAATAAAAAGGACTTCAATCCGAGCAATTGCAACGGCACATTTTTCATTTATTTAATTAATTATTGATAATTCTTTTATAATAATTTCAAGTGTTCGAAGTGTACTTTGATGAATAACAATCATCTATAAAAGGACTTTAGGATGAAATGAAGTGGTCCATCTTTGAAATAAATGTAGATGGGTGCTTGTTTAGATCAAATCATTTTAAACAAGAATTACGCTCAACGGTTATATATGCACCCAAACCCTCTGGTTACTCAACTGATGTCCCCTTCCAATACCTTTACAAGGCTGAGAAGAAAAACATCGCGAGACATTTTAAATATGTATATGTAGACAATACACTTTTATTTTAAATATATATGTCACTGGGCATAGTCCATACGTGCCTTTCTTTTTATATCGTAATAACCATTATTACGATTTAAATTTATATATATTACTTATTGTCATTCATTCCTGACAGATTGTAATAAATAAATGGATTTCAAAAAAAAAAAAATTTTAAACAAGCATCCATAGTAAATTTAGCCATAGTAATATCTATAAAAAGGATAGCAATATTAATTTTCCGATCGCCAGATTTTTCTCGCTTCTCATTCTTGACATTAATAAATATAAAGCAAGGATGATAGGTATTCTTCCATTAAGTTCTTTATGTTTCTAAATTTATAATTATTCCTTCAAATACAAATTCTAATTGAAGAACTCTTATAACCACTAACAGAATGCAGTCATTTCAATATTTTGCCACAATGGATGAGTTATGAAAATATTCTTTTATTTTATGTAAAGATATCATTGAAATAATAGTAATAACTTGAAGTAAAAAGTTTAAACCTCTAAAAAAAGTTAATTGAATTCCAAAATAATAACCAGCAAATTATTTACAAATGATTCGTTTTTTTAACTTTTAGTCTTATTCTCGGCTCTTTAACACAAAAACTGTGCCATTGTGCTCAATCAATTTGCATGCCTTAATAAAGTTAATGTTCTTAAGGGTAATTAAAAGTGTTCAATTACAACGAAAGCTGTTAAAACAGTTTTAATTTACATAAATAAGTAGAGCCCGAGCAAGGCTGCGTCCCGAAAATATCAGGCGGCTCTGTCGAGAATCTCAACAGTAATAAAAGCGGCTGACAATGAAAACCAATTAAAATATTTTCCATTAACAGAAATAAAAGTACATAAAAAATATATAAAAAATATAGAAAAAGTTTCATAAAAAAAATTAAAATTGTTTTCCTCAACGGAAACAAAAATCAAGCATTAATTCTGCGTACAATAAAAATCCAAACTGATTGCTTCTGCAAAAAATTAAAATATATCCTGTCATTTTTGTATATTACAAGCATAATTCTTTTGTTTGAGGAAGGTTTCAAAGCGCTTTTTGTTATGTATTTTTGTGTATGCAAATTTATTTTTTATTTAAATTTATTTTTTTCTCACAGAACGACAGCAAGACCACAGCAACAATTTTTTCCATACGCAACACAACACACAATTTATACTTGGAGTCGTGCAAGGACGGTTTGCGTCTATATTTGGAACGTGATAACACCACCGAAATGCTACCTGTGAAATTCAATTTATACGATTATCGCTGGCATCAAGTAGCCATCAGGTGAGTAGCATAGACAAAAATTGCTGTATTTTGGAATTTTAATATTTTTAAATTAAATTGTTTTGCTGTTAGTGTTTCCTATTTGTGGTATGGGATGACACTGCTTTGATATTGGAGACAGTAAGGTTAGGGACTAGGGACTAGGGATTTAAAATTAAAATTTATTACAAGTTAATTTAAGTAATAAATTTCATAAATAAGTGTGATTGTATAGATATAATCATATATAAAACTTTGGAATAATAAAAACAAATTTAGTAATAGCAGTTCTACTGTTATTTATTCTATAACTTTTACTAACATATTTACTGTTCATATTGTTTCAGGGATATACCTAGTTTCTTATAGCTCTTTTTGTTCTGTTAATGATAATGGATCTTCTGAATTTTATTGGATACTTTAGATTTCTTTTTTTCTTAGCTATCATACGTGTACCTCAATATTATTTTACTGATTTATTATATATCCATATGTTTGCATCTATTAACAGGTTGGTTTAATTTTACAGATTTATGAGAAAAGAATTTCATAACATATTTGTTAAATAAACCTGTGTATCGCGCACTACGTCTACACTGGCTAGACTTTAGCAAGTTTTCTGCATATACCCTTACGTTTTGACTAATACATACAAATTTTTCTTTGCTGACAAAATTCTAAAATATAGTATCTTTTAATTAAAATATAAAGATTTTGGTAAAGTTTAGTCATTGTGAACACTAAGTTATATATTATTATAGTTTTAATTCCTCTGCTTATGAATATCTGTACACCCTACGTACCATAAAGCATTCGGAAATTTTTTTAATGATTCGTTTTGACACATTTGTAATTCATTTATTAGCTGCGTTTCAGCAAATAATGATCTGATTCACTTACTCGCAAAACAATAACAACGCGATGAACTAGTAATTAATCTGATTCACGTCTTATGGTAGTTTAATGTGCAGTAACACCCGCAGCTTCTCAAATCCGTTCCTTCAGTGTAGTTTCATTAACGGCACATTAACGGTTGCTTAATAAATGAACCTCGTTTTGTAAGGTTCTCTGTTGAAAAGATAATACTCATAATTCATGAGATCTAAAACTCAAAACTTAAACAATATGGAAAGTATTGAAAATTGAGTGATTTTTACTTTTTATCAAAAATCAGCGTTCAATTCAATAATATTTGAATCAACTCAATTAGAATATAGCTACATATCTTTGTAATTTGCATATATAGTAGAAACTATAATATTCTGTTCCTAATGATAAAACGTTGGTACAAATGTATAAGAGGAGGTAAAGTGAATGTAAATCGATTTATTATAAGTTGCTATAAGGATCACGTTAAAGGCACTGCATTATTGCTATTGAATAATAGGCTATGAATGCACGCCGACCTAAAAGTAATGTTATACCACTAAAGACCCAACTAAAACAATTCAACAACCCAATATTAATAAATCTCGTAACTGCTATTTGATTTGAGACTAAGATTCCGCTTCCAAGGTAGTCAAGTCTAGTCTTGCCGCCGCTGGGCAGTTGCATAGAATAAATTCTATACTTTCCTTCTCCTCATGACAGAGTCGATAGAAATCACTTTCTACTGCACCTAAATTCTTCATGTAAGAAGTTCAGTGTAGAGTTTAATATTATTTCTGCGAAAGTTAAGCATTGCGTCAACTACTGAGGTGTACACGATCAATGAATCTTCTTGATTACCCAATGCCTGATTGGGCTTTCCAGTGTTCAAGTAGATTTTATTTCTCCCGTTCACATATTAAGTTATTTGTGAAACTATTTGTTACGACGCAGAAGGGCTCTGAACCAATGAAAAGAGTAAATACACGATTGGTAAATCTTGAGGCAAATATGTAACAGTTGAGATTAATTTAAAACACTCTAGATATTTTACCAGATTAGCAAGATTACTCTGAAAGGAACAGCTGTTTTATATGACTGGCCAAATAAAGTGTGCTTGATTCGCTATATCTATTCATGAATCATATAATTGTCTACTAACACTTCTAGGTATACAAATTTTAGATTATTCTTAAAATGTTCGATTGGGTTACAAAATATGACAGTGGGAGTTAGAAAAATATTTGGTTTTTTTTGTTAAGAGATTAAATCTTAAGATTAATTCTTAATGTCAAATAAAATGTGTTCATATTGCCATTGTCAAATGAACTATACTTGTCACATGTTGCTAAGAAAAGATCCTTTTTGTATGTGTCTATATCGTGAGTTGCTTCAGACATGATCTTTTAATGCAAGTTCGAATTAAATTAATTGAATACCTTGGATATATAAATAATAAATGGTTAAAAAATAATATTCTTTTTTTTTATAATGTCATAAAATACCATTAGTAGTTTCAACAAAAATGCTCACTTTTGTCTTTTTATTTAATAAATAATCCTCAACCTTTTTCTTTTTAATTTTGTTAACGTGGTGAGATACTTATTGTGTGCTGAGATACTTTTTTATAGCTTCTGGCAAAAATGTATTTTTTAATATTTTCTTTTGTTTCACGTTTCAGCATACAAAATGGAGATTTTATTTCAGTTTTCGTCGACTGCTCCTGGACAAA